TATTGTTATTATTGCTGCTGCTGCTGTGCGTCGTAAAAGCTGAACGCGTTCTTATGTCAGGCTGGCAAATGAAATGTTGTAATATGGGCCCATAAAAAATATGAACAATCAATTGACAAAAGTGCCATTAAAACTTGCCAAACAGTCAAAAGAGGGGCCTGTCACAAGCGAAACCGAAAACGGCAAGCAACAACTGCAAGTGTACGACTAGCAGATACCCTGGACTCAATCTGCCAGCCCATCTATCCATAGACACATATGCCATATTCATTCTGCCTCTAAAACTCGGTACTTATGGTCCGATCTTTTTGTAATTTTCGCAGCTTTAATATGGCATACAAGTGTTGGATATACTAAAGCGTAAAGCTCTACCTGCACAAATTATTAAATGATGTGGAATATATCCAAAAAGTAAAATACTTTTAGTCTGGCTAGATTATACCAGAAGTTATAGACCAAGCTTGGTTTATCTGAACAAGACTAAGAATCGATCTACATCTGAAAAGTGAAATACTTTTAATCTGTCTTACCTTAACTGAAGCAAACTGAGAATCGAAATGGAATATATATATCGGAAAGTAACAGGCTCTTCTTCTATTCTCTGCTTGCTTCTTCAAGCTCTACTTGGATTTGGACTTGATTATATCAGACGCAATTTTAGCCTTTTGAAACGTTTTCAATGGGTTCAGGGCATAAATTATTAACAGCAACTTTTGCTAATAAAAAGCCAACTAAACAACGTCAACAAGCTGCGGCCTGTCTACCCCCTCCCCCCTCCCCCCTCTACCCGCCAAGCCGCGTAGTCTTAGCCAGCAATAACAACAACAACGACGGGTTACCAAATAAGTCGCACACAATTTACAAATGTTAATGATTGATTTTATGTCATGTAATCGGCTGGCAAACTAGTTTGCAGTTTGCAGTTTGCAGTTTGCAGTTTTGCCGTTTGCCGTCATTTTTTCTTAGTTTTTTTTTGTTGTTGTAATTTTTCCAACTTTAGTTGACGTCAAACACGGCCCAGCACCGCGACCCCCGCGTCCCCCTCTCGAACGTTGCAAGTTTTGGCCTTTTATAGCCGCACTTGACGCTCCGGCGTCACACATTTCTTCCGTCCTTGGCCGTTGCAAATCCACTCAATTACTGCTGATACCCTGTAATTCACTGGATCTTGATATACTTGACGTATGAATTGAATATTTTAGAGTAGAGCAGGCTAAAAGAGCTAGTCGAAGGTTATACAAAACTATGGCAAAAGAAGTACAGGTAAAACGTCCCTGCTCTTCGTAATTGATACCCTGTAATTGACTTGATCTGGACATACTTGACGTAGGAGTTGAATATAACCAGCCAAAAGAAGTGTAAGATAGTTCCTTCTGCAGAACTGCTTTAAATGGGAATTTCCCTATAACAGATACCCTGTAATTCCCTAATATTGAAACAAATGCTATAGTTTTCTATAAAACAAAGCAAACAGTTACTAACTAAGTGTTGAAATATTTGTTGAATTATTTCTGAATGTTTTCAAGCACGAAATATATGTTTTATAGTAAAACTTCAGATTCACCTACGAGAGAACGGGATCATATGTATATATTGTGAACTAAACACATTTGTGCATTTGCATTGAAGTACAGTAAAAGCCCTGATGACGAACAACTCCATTAATTGGCTATCAAAAACAGGCCAACAGCCCAAAAGTATGCTATATATTGCTTAGATAATAAAACCACAAGGAATAGGTTGTAGTTAATCTAAAAATCATAACTATAACTATATAAAAAATAATCAATTATAATAAATTGATTGTTGTCTAAATAATTAAATTTGATTTCTAAGCTTAAGATCTCTTCCAAATGCATATATTCGCAGCTGAATTCAGGCCTCTGTAAGTCAAGCTCTGCTTACATATGCACATATAAATATATATATATAAATATATGTATACATATAATCACGTTATCATATCAGATCATTATCTCGTCCACGCTTTTACACACACACACACACAACACGTAATGGGGCCAAAGACTTTAGCTGCAAGCCAACCAAATAATATGTATATTTAAAGTAAACCAAAAATTCTCATGAATCTTTTATTGAATCCAATCGAAATGTGAATTGATTTTAATTGTGAGTGTGTGCGTGTGTGTGTGTGTTTGGCATTTCTCGCATTCTTAGAGTACACACAAATCTCGTGCATTTGGCGCATTATTTGTTTGTTAATTGTTAATTCTTCTGGTTCACACGTTCAATGGCCGTTTATTATAATTGCTTTGGTGTACGTGTGTGTGCACTTTGTAGCCGTGACTCACTTCCCGTTTCCGTTGCATGACAGCATGTACAAGCAATACAAATGTTAAACACACACACACATGCACACACACATGTGTGTGTTTATATAAATTGATATCGAGCATTTGTGGCATTTTCTATTTGCTATTTAAAATATAGGTCGCCATTTTTGATTGCAAGCCAACTTGTGTGTGTGTGTGTGTGTGTGTTTGTTTTTTGTGTGAATGGCTTTTGTGGGGCAGTGTTGTAAGGCATGCATTTGGAGTTGACAGAAGAAATCAATTTTAAATTAACACTTCATATGTGATTTTAAAGAATTCCAATTAACAGTGTCGTTCAAATGACAGCACTGTTAACTTAACATTTACAGCATGTGAAAGGCAATTGTGCAACTTAACAGCCACTCAATCAGAAATCCTCCGCTGCTTTACAGTATGTTAAGTTAAATGTGCAGCTTAACAGGCACCCAATCAGAGATCCTCTGTTTGTTCAAATAAATGTGCGTCTTAACAGACGCTTAATCAGAGATTCTCTGCTGCTTTACAGTATGTTAAGGTAAATGTGCAGCTTAACAGCCGGTCAATCACAGATCCTCTGCTGCTTTACAGTATGTTAAGATAAATGGGCAGCTTAACAGGCATCCAATCAGAGATCCTCTGCTGCTTTACAGTATGTTAAGGTAAATGAACAGCTTAACAGTCATCCAATCTGCTGCTTTACAGACTCTTAATCTGAACTCCTTGTTTGCCATTGTTATTTCATTTGCATTGATTTTGCATTTCGATATCGCTGTCATCACCTGGCCACTTAATCAGCTAACGTCTTATTCCGTATGCCCAAAAATAAATTCCTTTCTGTTGAGTTAACAGCTGTACGCCTAATGGGCCTATAGCGAGAGAGCCTTAATGCTTAACGAGCGCGGCTCGAAAATTTATGAATTTCAATTCAAATGCACAAAATTCAATATCAATATAAACGGTCGCTAAAGCTTAATTATGTGATTTATGCGAGTTTTGAGCAAACAGCAGCAATAATGAAAATTGGCACAATCAGCGGCCGCAGCCCGAAATACTCACGCAAATAATTTCCTCAATGGACTTGTTTAATTTATATATATATTTGTATCAATATATACATTGATATGTGTGTATACATGCATTTGCTGTGGTACAGTGAAACCTGTGACACGCTTCTCTGCGCTGCAAACTACTCGAAACTTGTATTTCGTATACGTATTTGTATTCATTCCATTTCGCATTCGTCTGTTTTTATTTTATTTTTTTTTTACGGGGCATTTGAAAAACGAGTCAAAACCAGTTTTTCGGTTCTCCATGCATGCTAAATTGTTTTGCTTTCAATTAAACTAATAAAATGCCAATTGTCGTATATAGCAAAAAAAAAAATACATTGACTGTGTATGTCTCTCTGTCTGTCTGTGTGTGTGTATGTGTGTGTGTGTGTCGAACGGTCGCCTAACTGGCTGGCAAAGCTGTAACTGACGCCGGACTCGGCTGTCCAGTGAATGCCTCGCTCGACTCTTACCAATCCAATCTAAAATCAGCCCATCTATTAGATCTATTATCATGCCAGTTCAAAGTCAAACGCGGCGTATGCGCAATGTGTAAAAACTGTAACAATTAGCAATTGTACAGTTGCGCTATTTGTAGCTTGTCTTAAAGCTGCGATTAAGCTAAAGTCCAGATCAAATTTGTATCTCGAACTAAGCTAAAGATTGAAAGCTTATTAAGCTAAGACTAAGAATTCCTTGATTATTTTTATATATTCTTCAAAATATCAGAATTCAGTATTCATTTTATGAGGCTTACCGCTTAAGAAGGCAAGAAATGAATATAAAACTCTTTATTTTTTATTTTCTTGTTTCCACTTTTAAATGGTTCAAAATTTTAAACTAAAAGCTGAAATTGTCCCATACAAATATTTGAATCTTAAATATAGTTTAGCATAGCTAAAAATAAAATGCAGAACAAGAAAACGTAGTTATTCAAGATAGGGCAATTAGTTCGCAAAGTCTTTCGCTGAGAAGAAACAATTAACGTCGACAAGAAAAATTCTCAACTAGTTTTTGCTGTTCGTAAATGCATATTCATGTGCGGTAAACGTAAGCGTTCTCGCCGCCAGGCAAAGATCAAGCAGGACACAATTCCAAAAAAAAAATACAAACAAAACGATAATAATAATAAGAAGATAAACGTGGTCGGGTCTTAACGGCTTTCGGCTTGATTTGGCTCGAATGATAAGCGTCAAGTGTTATTTTATAATGCATATCACGTATACGCCTCGCTGTTCCACGCTGCATTTATAATGAGTCTAACTGTGTGTGTGTGTATGTGTGTGTGATCAAGCACACACACACATACTCATACAGTTGCATGCATAAGTTGGCTGGCGGGTTGGCTTCAGTTCGGTGCGGTTGGCTGCGTTTGCCTCCTCAACAGCGCCAGACTCGCTGTCGTCGCTGCCTCTCACAAATGTGTGCATGTCTGTGCATGTGTGTGTGCGTGTGTGTGTGTGCTGATAAGAAAAAGACAACAGCAGCAGCAGCAGCAGCAGCAGCAGCGGCGGCGGCGGCAGCAGTTGTTGTCTGGCAACCTCAACAGTTTTGCGATCTTCAGTTTTATTTTTGTTGCCAACAAAGTGAATTGCTCGCGCGGGTGTTTTGTTTGGCATTTGCTAACACTGCTCGCTCTTATTGTTATGTGTACAATAATAATACACAAGTTGCTGTTGGCTGTTGTTTGCACATGATTTTCAACACTGTTTAAACATTATATTTGGGTTTCAAGTTGACGAAAGCGACCGAAAACGAAGAAAAGAAGTGAAAAAGCAAACAAGTTGATAAAATACTCAAACACACACACACAGAGAGAGAGAGAGAGAGAGAGAAATAGTTGGTGCATATGTGTGTTGGCATTTGAATTGCCAGATATATATTTTTTTACGATCTATTACGAAACGTGCAACTATTAATCTTAATAAATACTAATTGGATACAATACGCGCACGAGGCACACGATCAATCCAGAGAGATCAACAACAACAACAACAACAACAACAGCAGCAATTCAGCAGCCAATTGATGCGCGTCATGCAGCTTGAACGTCACAGCGACGGCGACGGCGACGGCAGCGCAGCTGGAAGCCATAGAAAAACGCATCAAAAGCAGCAGGCAGCAGCCAAAGTGAGCGAAATTAATACACGCACACACTTGCACACACACACACACATACATAGATAACATCGATATGCCTGCTCATCCTAGCGCTGTTAAACGAGCGCGCAACATTCACAAACAGACGCCGACATCACCTGCCGCCATTTTGCAAATGAGCCGCTGCCGCTGCTGCTGCCGCTGCTGCTGCTGCTGAGCTGAGCTATTAATTTGATGCCAAACAGAATTTAATGCATATTAAATTGCATATTAAAATGCGCCTGCTACAAGCGGTGTCCAGTTGCAGCGAAATGCAAATGCCGCATGTCTAGTCAATTAACAGCACCGTTTACTGCAGCCGCAACGGCCAACAGCAGCAGCAGCAGGCGCAACAACAACAGCAACAACAACAGCTTGCAACTGCCAACAATTCGCTGTGCCAGTTTATTTGGTACCAAGCAGTCTCGCCATGTCGCTGTGTTTATGTTTTTTTTTTGTTTTTCTGTTTTTGTTGTGGCCATGGTACCATGCAGTCTCGAGAGCTGTTTTAACAACTTGGGTGGGTTGTTTTAACTGTTGCTCGCAAACATTAAATGTTTGCGTGTCTTGGCTGTATTTGTTTGTTAGATATTTCAGTGGCAGGTCTTCGAGTTTTTAACAGCATAAGCACGAGCTTAACAGTAAACAGCTTAACAGTCTTCAATAGACTTAACAGCAACTGTCGTAACACGCTTGCGTGTCTTCCAGTCTTTAATAGCATAAGGGTGAGCTTTACAGCAAACTTTTAACAGAACTCATTGCGCTGCAATTGGCTAAATGTAAATGCAAATGAACAGCACAATTAACAGCAATTGTCTGTCTAGCTTAACAGTCTTCAATAGACTTAACAGCAACTGTCATAGCACGCTTGCGGGTCTTCAAGTCTTTATCAGCATAAGGTTGAGCTTAACAGCAAACTTTTAACAGAACTTATTGCGCTGCAATTGGCTAAATGTAAATGCAAATGAACAGCACAATTAACAGCAATTGTCTGTCTAGCTTTACAGTCTTCAATAGACTTAACAGCAACTTCTCTGTGAATGCCAACGAATGTCGTAGCACGCTTGCGGGTCTTCCAGTCTTTAACAGCATAAGGATGAGCTTAACAGCAAACTTTTAACAGAACTCATTGCACTGCAATTGGCTAAATGTAAATGATCATTAACAGCACAATTAACAGCAATTGTCTGGCTAGCTTAACAAATGTCGTGGCACGCTTGCGTAGCCAAGCGTTAAGTTGTGGCACCTGCCACAAATGTAAAAATGTCTAAGTATTGATGCAACCTGCATGTACAATGCACGCGCTTGTTTTTCAGGCATTTCATTGTCACTCATTGTCAATTCACAGTAACAAATCCATATAATAACAGTTAATTGCGGCGATAACAGGGCGCATTCCAGGCCAAATTTAGGCGCCCCGATAAGGCCCACACACAGACAGGTGGATATTTGCTTAAATGTTTATCTCTAATATAAATGCCACCGTCTCACCCAGCGGGAAGGGTGAGGGGTGTGAAATTCTTAAAACTATTGCGCACAAAAGAATACAAAATTCGTTATAATTGCTGTTTGTCATTATTTTTGGCTCATGACTTCATTCAATGTCGCCTGGCAGCAGGCGGCAGCTTCTACACACACACACACACACACACACAAACACACACACACAAAGCAATCTAAATCAAAGTTGAATAGTTTACAATCTGGCAAATCGACTTGAGCATGGAGCATGGCGAATTGCGTGGCATGCGCAACTCGCGCCAATGATTCAGTTATATATATATATATATATATATATTGTGTGTATTGGCGATCAGTTTTTGTTTTATAATGCGTCTACTTGTATGTATGACAGACAGTTATTTAAATTGATACAAAGCGGCAGGCCGACAAATAAAATCAATTGGCAGCTAATCAAAGCACAATGCAAACAAATTGCCAGCGATGACGATGACGATGACGATAAATCGATCGATCGATTGACAATCGGTTCCCGTTCCCGTTCGTTGGCTCCCTTTTGGTGGTCAACGATGACGCCATCGGCAACACGTACACACTTACAGCTAACAGCTGCTGTTAGAGCTACAGCTACAGCTACAGCTGTTGCTCTGTTACGGGCTGTTACTTTATGCCCGTATCGATTATGCAATTTATGCGGCCGGCCCAAAGTGTTAAAAATAAATGCATCGAACTCGAACTCGTTCTCGAACTCTCCGCTTGATGGCCATAAATCGTGCAATTCGAATCCAATTAGCGCAAGCAGAGGTCGTCGTGTGGGTAACGCGAGACAGCAGCAGCTGCTGTTAACACTCCTCGACGGCAATGTAAAGCAAAGCCCGGCCCGTAGCCCATTAAGCGAATACGAATAAGTGGCGCCATCATTGAAAACTTGCACATTTTCCAACACTCTGCAATGTAACGTCAATTATTTATGTATGTGCTTGCATTTTGTTTAGCATTTTAATGGCACTCACGTGTCGTGCGGCAGCTGCTAATTATACTACATCTAAATAAGCCCAAAAATTATATATACTACAACTACAACTACAGTTTTTTGGCCAACTGTTGAGTTGCGCACTGAGCTCATACGGCACAACATTTGGCAAAACTGATTGATGAACTTTTCTACTTTGCAGCAAGCCATTGGCCATAAATCAAATGCGACGACAACAAAAATGCGCTCAACTTAATTGAAGGCATCAACAAGCCAATAAAAAATCAATTTAAATAAACACAAGCACCAACACACACACACACACGCGCACACACACACACACACACACACAGAGAGAGAGCATATAGAAAATGCTCATAAAGAAGCCAAAGACGAAAATGCGCTGAAATATTTCAACAAATTGTTCACATGTTTTTGTTGTTATGCGAAATAGCGACGCTGTGTCTGCTTTGAATTTTCATTCATTTTTCACAAGCACACACACACACACACACACACACACACACACACACACAGACGAACATACATGCCCGTAAGCTGGCAGGCACGCGAAATTTTCACACACGCCGCATTTTCAGTAATTTGTTGTTGTCGTTTTTTCTTTTTTTCTTTTTGGTTTAAAAGCAATTTTCGCAATGGAAAAATTGAAAATTGTAATCAAATTATTATTGAATAATGTTTGGAATGTAGAATATATGTCGACGCCGAACTAAATTGAAATTGAAGCGAAGCACGCAAATTGATAAAAATATGCAAATGCAGCGACAATTGTTATTAATTTAATTTATTTATTTATATTTTTTTGGGGGCCTGTCTGACGGCGCACACACACACGCACACATACATGCTAGTATATACATGCATTTACTTATATGCATATGTGTGTGCGTGTGTGTGTGTGTGCTTAAGTGTGACCGTGTAATTTGTTGTTGGACTGCGGCTCGCCTTTGAGCCCAGTTGGACTCGTAAATTAGCCAAGTCGACAGATTTGCAAATAATGCAATAAACATTGAAATTGCGCCTTTTATTTATAGTGTGTGTGTGTGTGTGTGTGTGTGTGTGTGTGTGTGTGTGTGTGTGTGTGTGTGTGTGTGTGTGGACACCTTTATGAAGACGCCGAATGCAGATGGGCAACAGATAAAGCAAGATCAACACGAAATTCGTTTTATTTTTAGCACACACTTTGCAGTTGCAGTTGCAGTTGCAGACAGGCTCTATTTATAGATGCCTCTGGTCTACGATTTACGATTCACGATCTACAAGTGCTCGCACTCTGTCTCCCCTACCCACCCCTCCCCCTCGTCCGTCTGTGTGATTGCCCAGGCCGACAATCAACCGTCGACACGTCGTGCCCCGCCTGCCAGGCCACGGGCCCTTTTGCGGTTTCAAGGTTCAGCTTGGCCCATATCCATTTACCCAGTAAGCAGCAAAGCAGAACTTAATTGTACCGACTCGGGTCTATAAATAGCCGGGCCAGACAGTAAATTGTGCTATTTTTAAACTATTTCCGGTACTCGACTAGTTGAGCATTATCATATCAGAGCGTAAGTATAGCACTGGAAGAATTTAACCAAGAATTCGGGCTAAAACATTAGAAATTAGAATCAAGAGATTACTTTTTAGCTATTTTATTATATTCTTCTGTTGTTGTTTTCGTTTTTTTCAGATGTGTTCCCGCAACATAAAGATCTCGGTGGTGCTGTTTCTTGTCTTGATACCCATATTCACAGCGTTGCCACACAATCACAATTTATCGAAGCGCAGCAATTTCTTCGATCTGGAATGCAAGGGCATCTTCAACAAGACCATGTTCTTTCGCCTGGATCGCATCTGTGAGGACTGCTACCAATTGTTCCGTGAGACGAGTATACATCGACTATGCAAGTAAGTTTTTGCGATCAGCTAAGCCTAGGCCCACTGACTAACCAAATCAATCAACCAAGCAAATTCGTCTAGCACTTGAGATACCCTATCCTACCAGCCACACCTACAACCATTTCCTTTACCCTTAACCTCGACGACAATTTGAAAGCAGTTCAAGGCGCCAAATCGCGAAAAAACGAAAACAAGAATACTTTTCTCAAAAAAATATGACCCTGACATAGTTATAAAAAAAAACATAGGAAACTATTCTAAAAACAAATATGTATCTAGCTGTTTTCTGTTCTTCTCTTGTACATTCTCTCCAACTATCTATCTATCAATCTATCTATCTATCAATCTATCAATCTATGCTAGCTGTATCTTCTTTCTGTCTATTTGCTGCAGGGCCAATTGTTTCGCCCATCAAACCTTCGGAGAATGCCTTAAAGTGCTGCTGATCGATGATGAAGAGATTGTACAGCTGCAGCATTATCTAAAAGTTATCAATGGCTCGCCCTATCCCTTTCACAAGCCCGTTGTCTATAAATATTAGATGTCTAATAACTTGATTTTCCATTGATTTTCTCATTTCTTAACTTGTGTGCTTTGATTTGATTTGATTTGATTTATTTGAAACTTTCTATGATTTTGTATGATTTGTACGTTTGTTTGTTTTCTTTCTGTGTGCATTTTAGGAAAGACTGCTTTGATTCCAAATGGTTTGGCGAATGCGTTAAAGTGCTTTTAACACCAACAGAAGAAATAACAAATTTACAACATTTTATCAAAGTAGTAAATGGCTCGCCCATATCATTCAACATGGCGCCGGTTACATAACTCGAAGTGGTTGGTTAGAACCACCACCGAATACTACCAGAAGCCACTCACACACACGCACACGCACACACACGCACACAGACACAGAGACATCTACCTATCCGCAGTTACACACACACACACACACACACACACACACACACACTCACGCGATAGCACAACGAAATGGAAGAACAAGTTCAAGAGATTCCAGTTCGCATATGGTTCAGTTCAGTTCAGTTCGTTTCGGTTCGGTTCGGAACTTGAACCACGGAACCAACAACAGAAGCAGCAGCAAGAACAACTATAACAATAACAACTACAAGCAGAACAACAAATTAAATGTTTAACGCCCAAATTTAATTCGTACTTATTTATTACTGTATGCCTTACAGTTATTACTATATGTGTTTTTTAAAAAACGAATTATTTTAATTAATTTATTGAAACATTATGCGTTTGTTGTAAGTGAGGGACACGGGAACAGGGGGCGGGGCTATATGTATGTAACATTTGTATGTATGTATGTATGTATGTATGTATGTACGGGAACGAGTGCGAGTGAGCAAACACACACGCGCGCGCGAGGGGAAAAATAAACGGGCGAAAGTACGGTATCAGAGGGGAGGGGGGTGGGGGGCTACCTCTCAGTACCATTACAGCGTATCCCGTAGCCGAAGAAGTATTTATTTCTAAGTATTTTTAGCTTGTTTATTATTGCGTTATGTATGTAAAATAAAAGATCCATTGTTTTTAATATACTTATTTAATGTATAATTATTATTTTTTATATCGTATTTAAAAAAAAAAAGAAGAAAACAAAACATAAAAAAAACACTATAAAAAAAATATCGCGTATTCCAAGCAGCATTTACATTTACATCAAAGGGCAGAAAAAAAGGATAAAAATACTGAAAAAAGAGAAAACAAAAACAAAACATATTCACAGACACCTACACACACACTCACACATACACACACACGCACACAAGACCGAAAGTATTTTGCAAATGTATTAGATTTTTGTGCTATTTTGTAAAGTCTTAAAACATAATTAGCGTAAAATTTGTTGGCAGAAAAGAAAAGAAAACAAAAAAAAAAAACAATTATATATCCACGAATACATAAAAATATTTAAGAATATAACGCAATTTGTGCAAAACACAAACAAAACAAAAAAACCTTTGGTAAAAACGCGCAAAAGCGAACAGAAAAAATACTGCATTCGAAATGTAGTTAAAAAAAAAAAGAAAAACAATTATTAATATTTATGTTAAATAATGAACAAAACAATCGCTGGCTATTTGAGGGCATCCAAAATTGTGATAAATGAAATTAGAATGCGGCACTGACCAGGGAGAGCGCAAAAAGAGAGCGCACAACGCAAGAGCGAAAACGCAAAGAGAGCGAGAGCAAAGAGAGAGCGAGAGCAACAAGTGCAGCAGCTGTCGCCGATGCTTGGCGCGTTTCCGGCGCGACTAAAAACGCGCGCTTACCGTTTTTGTTTTGTGGTACGTTTTTAGTTTGAAATTTAATTCTTTTTTATATATATATTTTTACGATTTTGATTTTTGCCGTTTGTTTTGTCAAGTGCAATTGCCTTTTTGAATTTTTCACCATGCACTGGCCAACAAAGTTTTTTGAACAGGCACAAGCAAAACAAATTTTTTTTGTCTTTTGGCTCCACTCTGTGTGAGCGGGGCGGGGCGCCTCAAAAAACACCTACGCACCTTTTGAGATCATATTGTAATGCTTGGATTTCTTTTGCCATTCCGTAAAACAGGCAAGACTGCTTCGGATCGCCGTTCTTCAATGCCTGCGTCGAGGCGCTGCAGCTGCACGAGGAGATGGACAAGTACAACGAATGGCGCGATACCCTGGGACGCAAGTAAACGGACGGAGGGGCTTGACTTGAAGGCGGCATAGAGCCATAGCTAAACGCATAATACGAGTTATACTTACATATATTATATACTCACTCTATATACGATATGAGCACACAACTACACACACACACACACACACACACCCACGACAACTACAAGAGAAAAAGCACACGAGTTAAAATAATCACAGCAAATACGCGAATTACATTTAAGTAAAAATCAACGAAAAATGTTGCAAACAAAAAAAATATAATGCATAACAATACATAAATAATAAACATACTCAAGTAAATATATATGACAGTGTAACATTTCTTCACGTCTATTTTTCTTCTTGCTTAGAAGGTTTTGTACAATTGTTTTTCGCTTTAGGGACCCCCGATTTAAGTTTAGTTCTTCAACTCTCTATATATATATATGTGTATATGTATATGTATTTATGTATTACGCCAGAATTATGTATCTTCGATTTTTTTTGTTCAAGCAAAGGACAAAAGTAACGAAAAATTCAAAATGTCTGATGTATATAAAGATAATAATTTGTTTTTTTTTTTTTTTTTTGCTACACATATAAAAATATCTAACATATATATAATATTTTGTAAATTTTTTGCCTATCCTTTAAGCAATTAAGTTAATTTGTTACGTTTACGTTTACGTTCTAATTCTAATTGCATTGCGCGAAGAAATCTACAAAACACACATAATTACCACACAGCATATTTCGATATTACATTATATGTACCCTAATTAATTTAAACTTGTTTGGATCTAGTCGTAAAATATAAATAAAAACTGTATATTTCAAGTGAAGAAATTTGTACCCAAAGTTTGCATTCATTTTCCAATTTTTCCAGCACTTTGGGCTTCTTGCATAAGCTTTATTCATTTTCAAATGTGAGTTTTTCAAGTTTTACATCGAATTCAATTCAAAATATTGGACAATCTATTCCAGTCGCGCCTCGGTTCACTTGAGATGTATGAAATGCCAAGTGTCGACTGTAAGACAATAGATAGAAGAGATTTGTTTAAAAACTATACAATATTTATTAACAATTAGATTTAACAGTAAATAAACAATAAACAAGCAAAGCCATTAACAAAAGTGTGTGTAGGTCTAAAGCAATATTTACAGCAGGACATTTGGTTTGGTTTGTGTCGATTTGATTTGTCTTTGGGTTAGTATGGCATGCAGGATTGGAATTTGATATCCAATTTGTGCAGTGTTTGGTTTGGCGTGTATTAAAGCTTAGCGGGAACATAGTAAACCTTACCTGTGTCGACCACTTCCTCGACCTCGCCGCCATCTGGAGCCTCATCGAGTATTTTGGCAGCCTCTTCTTTGCCAATTACAAATTCCGAATGGCGATTGGTTATATTTTGGCTATAAATGCAAATAGTTTAATATGATGTTATGTAATATGATAAATAAGAACAAACCAAGCTATTTCCGGCGTGCCCACATTGGACTGATTGATCAGGGTTTGCCAGAACTTGTGCGTCTCCGCAATGATGGAGGTGGCAAAGTCTGCGCTCTTGGCATCTCCATTAAACGCAAACTGATTCTCTGGCTTGCCATCGGGTATTTTGTAGATCTGGGCCAAATAGAAGGCATAACATTAATAAAATATAAATATATAGAATGTAAGTCCAATGAGGAAGTACCTTGAACCACTCGACGGTGGCACGCAGCAGACCCGGAAAATATTGATCTACATCGGAAACATCATTGACCTTTGAGGCCAGCGGATCGTTAACATTGATTGCAATGATTTTCCAGTCCGTTTCGCCCTCATCGATGAGCGCGATGGCGCCCAGGACCTTGACCTGCAGCACATCGCCGCGTTTGGCCACACGATACCCGATCTCAATAACGTCAATGGGATCATTGTCGCCCTTGCAGCCAGTGGAAGGTTCAATGTGATTCGGATTCTCCCAGGTCTGTGGCAGGGCGCCATAGTTCCAGATGTAGCCCTTGTGGGGAAAACAATTGGCCACAAAACGCAATTTACCCTTCTTGATGTCCTGCTTAATGGGATTCAAGGGCGTCTTCAGGCTAATCTAAAATAACATTGCAAAACACGCCATTCGAATGTTTATCAAAATTATCTATCGATAATTATGCAGCTTACCTCCATTTTGGCGTTCGTCCAACGTGGCACCTCGACGACCATGTTGTAGATGGTCTTCTCCTCGTTGGCGTACAATGGAATGTCGTGCATGGGTGAAATGACATTGCCGCAGTTGTTTTCTACAGCAAATAATATTCAAGTAGCAATAAATGGTTGTAATTAAGTTGCGTCCGAAAAATTAAACACGCAAACGCTTGATAAATTAAAACAGAGAACGCAAATGAAGCCACGCTGTTGACAAGTTCTTTAAACAGCAGCTGGATATTCAATTAATGACTCGACTACAGATATGCTATATCCATTTTATAATCAGAAGTCCATTAAAATTAAAGTCCACAGTTCGTTCGGCATCAACCGATTCACCTTGTCCGGTGTCACAGACAAAGCTTGCGCCGGCCGCGCGAATTGCTGATAAAGCAACGTTTTTTTTTTTTTTTGTTAATTAGCGGCAACTTGTTGCATAATTGTTTATATCAATAGTTGGCTGCACTATTCTTATTTTATATGCGCACAATTACTCAAGGAGCGGCATTTTTGCACTCCTTTTTGCATACTTACTGAAATACAGGCTGTAGTTGGGCGAGTTTATGGCGCCTTTTGAAATTGTTTCGTACAGCGGCATTTTAAAGTTTTCTTTCCGTAAGCTCTCGATATGTATTTGCCTATAACTGCGGGTAAATGTTTCTTCTGACACTGCACAAATTGGCCGGAATGAACGCCTACCTAGTACACGTGAGAAAGCAATATATGAACTCCTTGTAATTTCTGCGAACATTCTGATTAGCTAGTGTTGCCAGACTTGGTAGACAAAAAATACCAAAGAAAATACTTAAATTACATTGCAATGTGCTCACTGCCAACAAATTGGTTGAAGCTATAATGAAGACTGCGCACAATATGTCACATAGTTATTTTTTTTAAATACACAAAAACAGCTCGTTTTCAAGTTTTCACTGTCATGTTATTGACTTTTATATTTGGTATTCGTGGAATTTCGCCACAGTGAGGCCGTATATATACCAAGCAATTGATTCGATTAATTTAAGCGGCTTATCGAATGATACTAGTTGTTTCATTCTCCACGCTGACAAAAATTCAGAGAAATTGTAAGTCGTCCGTCGCTTTGATTTTGGGATAAAAATTGCTACTCGGCAACCTGATGATCAAGTTCTTTGCATAAGCGCAATACGAATACGAATTTTTAAGTTTTCTACCCGACTTCAAATACACAGCATACAGTGCTGCAATTAGCAACAAAACTATACTTGCTGCAGGTCTCTTTTTTTTTTTGGCAACAAGTAGAAATTTCCCACTCTATTGCCATGCAGAACTCAAGATCGAGAGGCTCATCGTCGAGGCCACACCGTCGGCCAGCTGCAGCTGCAGAAGTTACAAGCGTCAAGAAAAGCGAATCGAACACAAAGCTAAATACCACGGAGGTTGCCTATAATCAAGTGGGCAACGATGATAACGCGTGCGTGGTGTGCTTTAAGAACGTTGAAATCTATTCAATCGGAGACTGCGATCATCCCGTTTGCTATGAATGCTCCACGCGTATGAGGGTATTGTGCCAGCAGAACGAGTGTCCCATCTGTCGGCATGTGCTGTCCAAGGTAAGCCCATATATATACGTGTGTCTATATATATAAATATTTCTACTGAATATATGTATAAACTGTTTCCATGCAGGTTCTGTTTACACTGGAAAAGCTGCCTTATCGCGAACTTGAAGCTGGCAATCGTTCAGATTTCTATAGCAAGAAGTATCGCATTGGCTTCTGTACCGCCGAAATTCAGCAGAAATTCTATAAGCTACTCGATCATCCCTGTCCCAAGTGAGTTTCCAGTTTGCTTCCGTGCTACAACTGAAGTAATAAATTATAATTGAATAGGTGTAATGTGCCGCCTTATCGCACCTTCGAGGCGCTGCGCAATCATGTTCTACGCGAACACCACATGTATTTCTGCGATCTGTGCGTAAAGAATTTGAAGATCTTTACATTCGAACGCCGCTGCTACACGCAGGCCGAGCTGGTAACACACAATGCGAAGGGCGATCCGGAGAACACATCGCATCGTGGGCATCCGCTGTGCGAGTACTGCAATGAGCGCTATGTGGATCGTGATGAGCTCTTCCGTCATTTGCGACGCGATCATTACTTTTGTCACTTTTGCGATGCCGATGGCTGCAACGATTTTTACAAGTGAGTAGCATGTTACCAAATCGAATCCTAAACTATAACTTATGCATATTTCTATACCTTTCAGCGTCTATGCAGACTTGGCAGATCATTTCCGCAAGGAGCATTTCCTCTGTGAGGAAGGCAAATGCGCCACGGAAGAGTTTACGGGCGCCTTTCGAAATGAGATTGAATATAAAGCGCATGTGGCCAGTGTTCATGGAAAAACTTTGAACAAACAGCAGGCCAAGCAGACCCGCACATTGCAGCTAGAGATTACGCTGGGACCACGCGGGCGACGCGGCCAAAATGAACAAGGCATTACGAACATGAGATCACGGTGTGTAGCCATTGCAAGGACGCTAATTTCTCTAATTATTTAATATTGTTTGTTGCAGAAACGATGAGCATCAAGACTATTTGGATGAGTTGCCCTCGAGCAGCACCCAGCGCAGCCAGCCCGTTACCATTGATGCTGGCAACGAGGAAGAGTTTCCCATGCTGGCAGGCTTTACACCTGGTCCCAATGTGTCGTTGGTGAGGGCGCCGCCACCGTCCATGCGTAATTTGAGCGGCACCTCGGGCCTAGCACGCACCAAAGAAAACTTTCCAGCTCTGGGTGGCGCTGCTGGTGGCAATATATCCAACGCCTATAACAGTTATGCCAGCGCCCGAGCAGCTGCCCCGCAGCCTGCAGTGGCTAACTTTAAGAAGTCCGCTAGCTCAGGTGGTGCTTCTGGCGGTACTTCTGGTGGCGCTGCAGTAGCGCGTGCCAATGCCCCCGCTAATGGCATGTTGCTGCATGTTTCAAATCGTCCTGCTGCCAACGGCAGCAAGAAATCAACACCAGACATGGACTTTCCCGCATTGCCTATGGGCAAAGGCAAAAAGATGTCGCGCAACTTGGACGAAGACATGCTGCCCAGCAACTCGGCCGTCCCCATGGGCAATCTGGCGGCCAAACATCGCACACTGGTCGACGACTATGTCTCTGTGGCGCATCCGAGCACCTATCAAAAGATACAAATGGTACAAAAGGAGGAGCTGGAGGCTAAGGCGCGCATGGAGGCGCTCAAGAAGAGCGCACCCAAACTAACTGCATTGGAGTTCCCCACGTTGGCGCCAAGCAGCACCAAAGCAACACCATTACCTAGGGCCAATGGCGGCGGAACGGCAGCCTCCCTAAACTGGACCAAACCCATATCAGACAAGAAACAGAAGGATTTAGAGAATCGCAAGGGTAAAGTTGCGCCCGCACCTATGTTACCAACACCAAAGGGCAGCACAACTAGCTTAAATAACAACAAGAACAACGCCAACAAGCAGGAGTCGCAAGCACAGGTCAACAAGAAGGATAAGAAATCCAAGGAAAAGAAAAACAATCAAGATAATCAGCCAAAAGTGAACAAGCAAAAAGAAAAAAACAACAACAATACCAATAATAATAATAATAATAATAATAATAACAACAATAATAACAGAAACAACGACGACGACGAACAGCTGCCAACAATTGTCAATTCCAATGGCAACTTATCAAGCACATTGCGTGCACCGCCTGGCCTGAGCGTTGGTGCAGCGCCCGTTAAACCACCACCCGGTTTCATGTCCAATGTCACCGTCAACTCTGTGGCCAAGCTGCCCAATAATTTGACATTTACCAGTTCATTGGGCGAGAATTATAGCATTGTGCCGAGTTCCTATAGCTATAGCGATCCACCAGACACGGCCAACAGGAACCAGGTGAGCACAGCTGAAATTTGTGCTTTCAACACATAACTTATAATAATTGATTTTCGGCAGAATTTGGTGGATAACCTGCGCGAGGTACTAAAAACACCCGAAGCCTTTAACGAATTTCGCATGCTCTCGTCCAGCTTTCGTGATGGCACCTGTACGGGACAAGCTTATTATGAGCACTGCCAATGCGCAATGCTGGATAAGTTTCACAGTCTGTTTCCGGAACTATTAGTCATGCTGCCCGACATAACCAAACAACAGGTTTATCACTTAAAATGAAACCTAACTACTGTGCTAGTTCTAATAGTTATATTTTTTGGGTACGCAGGAATTGTATCTGGTGCATAAACAATACGTGAACAGCCTGACGCCCAGCCAGAGCAAGTTGATGCCCAGCCTGGAAGTGTGCAGCAGCTGCAAGCAAATACTTTTGTCGAACGATTTTGCAAGTCATCAGAAGGCGCACGAACTCACAAAGAATTTCCCCACGCTTGGTAATGCCGCTTCGAATACTTCGCTGAGCGCCGCAACCAAGAATGCACAACGTAAATAAAAACAAGAAGAAGAATGTGGTTTCAAGAATCGCAACAACAAAACAAAAAACAACGATTAATTGCAATGAAAAGCTTTACCTATGTATATTTTGTATGTATGTAATTAATTTATCGTTTGAAGCACGCGCGTCCCCACACCAATATTGAAGAAAAGCGAAGGCAATGAAAATGAACACAGAAAACGAACTTGTTTGTAAACATATAGCTTAACTATATGTATTCAACATGATTAGGCCCTGTAAAATTACGCTGTTGCATGTAACGTTGAAAACGTGTCATGATTTTGCAGAACCGTCAACTAAAGCCACCTGCACATTGTGGAATCCGTTTTTTTTTTAATTTTTAATGAGTGAGCTTGTATAAAATATGTAACAACTGAATAAAGTGCAAAACAATCAAATTGCAATACTTGTTGGCTGTATTGATTATTGATAATGGCTAATTAGCATCTTGTTTAATGTAAATAAACGAATAGATAAAAATACAATTAGCATAATTGCTTGTATCTTATCTACTTTCAATGGGTCAATATTCGGATAAGTTTTTTCATTATTTTGTTTCGATTAGCCTTTAGGGTAAAAATTGTAAGTCCTGAATTTTACATGTTTTTCCCAAAATTCAGTTTCGAACTTTCAACCAGCCATTCAATTGATTTCCGTTAAATATTTGAAATATTAAATTTTGGTATCAGTTGCAAATGGCTGGTAACATTGGGCTTTAGTATTTAAATGCGCTTGGCCACACTGCACGCGCCTAATACGCATTATCGATATGTTCGATGAGTAAACAACAAGCTGTCGATAAATTCGCGAAGTAAACAACGATGCAGCGGCGCGAGGATGTGCTGAGACAGGTAATTTAGAAAGTTTTAATATTCTGCGAAATAAATACAGAGTGAGCAATATACTAGGCGCTTGACAAAAATGCTCATGAAACGGAACGTTGGCAAGCATACAAAGCGGACAATGAGGTGGCGATGAAGAATCTCGAAATCTTCTCTAAAAATCTTAGCGTCGAGGTTATGGTGCCAATCGGCAAGAAGGCCCTAATGCCGGGCGAATTGATACACACCAACGAACTGCTTGTGGGCCACTATCAGGGCTACTTTTCCGCTTGCTCGGCCCATAAGGCCCAGGAGATATGTCAGCACCGTCTTCGTCTAGCCGAAGAGCACCTAAACAAACTTCAAGTGGAGGCGGATCTATGGCAGTAAGTCAAAGAAAGGTTTGCTTATGTTAGGAGATTCTAATATATCTGTTTTACAGAAACAATCTAGAAACACCTGTACTGCAAGGTGCTGTGCCAAGCTCAGATGAAATTGAAATTGTTGAGGAGTACAACGAGGCGGAACACAAAAATTGGCTAAGGGAACACAAGGAACGCGTGCGTAGGGAAAAGCAGGAAGAGCGCGCACAGCGTGAAGCACATGCCAATGCGCCAGATGATCTTTTCCATAACCTGGAGGAATCTGAAATGTTGGAGGAGCTTGGCCTCGATCCGGACAATGTCAATAAACAGACGCTAATTGATATGATCCAAACTGAGATTAAAATTGACAAACCTGAAAGCAATAACTGTGATAATGAAAATTCAACAACTAAAACGGATACGGAGATATTTGACATATTAGCTAAACTGGAAGCGCAGGAGCAGCTTGAGGCATCCGAATTGGACGAGGAGTCTGAGCAAAATCTGCAAAGCACCAACGAGCTCGTGCGTAATCTAATGAAGGGTGAAACTCAGGTGACATCGGCAAAACAACGCATAGCCAGAGCCGAAAACAATGTCAACAAATTAAATGAAGACCTGGCAACAAATAATGAAAATGACATGGAGGAGGAGGAGGAGGAGGAGGAAGAATCAGATCTACCGGAGGAAGTAAAACTAATACGACAACAAATGGCAGTATTGCCCAGGGAGGAACGAGAGCAGTTTTTGCATTCGCAATTGCAAGTTATAAAAGCGAAAATGCGTAAAATACAAAAGATATCGTTCATCAGTGACGAGCTCACGCATTTGATGAATGTGGTTGTTTGCCTAGAGGACGATTTGCAGGAAATGTTGTTTGAGCAAAACGAAGCGGCCAGCACTGAGGAACTGTCAGAGGATGCTGAATCGCTGCCCGATTTGGTTGATAACAAAAAGCGACGCATTTCCTTTGCAGAATCCGACGAGCAGCTGTTCTTCAAACAAGACGAAACTGTGGCCGAAATGCTGGCCAAGGGCAAGCAACAACAACGTGAAGTAATTCAATTGGATGCACCACTGCAGCCAGCGCAGCAAGAAAGCATCTTGGAGGTGCCAGCAACGGCCACGAGTCCACAAATCATGCAAAAAGTTGAACGAAATCGGGAATTTGTGCAGGAAAATCAGAGCGTGCAAGATTTTGATTTGGTCAATAAAATACTTGAAGCCTCCACGGGACGCATTAATACACTACAAATAAGCTTTAGTCATTCCGATGCGCCAAGTGCCTCAATGCAGTTCGATGATACATCGATTCCTGGTAATCCAGCGCACTTCTATCAGCTGTACAAACGAGCCCTGGCCGAGGCGCAGGCCGAGCAATCGTTTCCTATATATATCAACAGTTTTGCGGGCGAGGACGAGCTGAAGGTGCCCATACTTAAAGAGGAGGAGCGAGCGGCGGCCTACGATGATCCCCGTGCTCAGGTGAGCTAGCAAAAAAATAAGTAGAGTAGGTTTTTGTGAGGCTAGAAGGTGGGAGAGCATAAAATGAGAGTTAAAGCAAACCCGAGTGACTTTTGAGCTTATGAGAATCGAATAGAAAGGATATAGTAAAAAGTTGTTACCTCTCTTGAAATGTCATGACCTAACTTTGCTAAACCTGCTCTATCCAAAATGCTAACTGATAAACCCAACTAATTGTTTTTTTTTGTTTAGTTTTCAAAATTCCCGGCGACTATGGAAGCCACCGAAAAAAGTGAAGATCCGGCAGTTACCGAAACTAAATCGATATTACGCAACAAATCGGCTGTGGAACGAGAAGTTCGTGCTGTTGTCGAAGAGCCAAAACCAAACAAGTCCAAGAAAAACAGAAACCGAAAGAATAAAAAACCACGCACCATTGATGATGATCTGCGCGACATGAGCGCGTATCAGAAAGTCATGCAGGATCTGGTCGAAAAGGAGCCGACGGCGCCGGAGCCACTGCCCGAGGGCAAATATGTAGAAACGCATGCGCCCAAGAAGCGGATCAGTCGCTTTAAAGAGCAACGCTCCATGAACAAAACATAATGGTACACATAATGGTGGGTGAGATATGTACATTTATTTACTTTGTGGTAAAACGGAATTATGAGCCTATGTACATCAATTTGTTTAACCTGTATTGTACACACGCACACAACAATAAATAACTAGAGTTGTGTACACGAGTTGTTATTAAATTAAACACTATTTACTAGTCCGTTTCAACGGAATTTATTTTTAAAACATTTACATTTACGCGATTTACTTACAATGAGATATTTGTTTTTGATTTTACAATTTAAATCAAGCGTTGCGCCTGAGTCTGATCGTGGGAATCAGCTTAAGCTTTACAGGACACTATATATTTGTATTGTGGGATGTGTGTGTACGCATATTGAATGTTTGAAATTCATACGCAGTTGCTTAAACTAAAGTAGGTGTGTGTTTGTGTGTTTAAAAGTAGATACATAATATTAACTACTAATACATACAGTACGCATCTGCTTTTTCTTATAAATAATCTCGTACTCGCAGCAAACACGCGTTAAGATCGACTCTCTCCTTTCTACATACAAACTGTAATTTGCTGTTTATTGCTTCGCTTGGTGGTTTTTAAATTAAGCCGAACCAAGATTAGTTTAATTACGTTATTATTTTTTCTTTTCTTTTTTGCATTTTCTTGTTTTTCGAAGAGTAGGTACATTTGAAATGTCAAAAGTGCATTGAACATTATTTCCACCAGCTAGTCTTCCATGGCCAGGCCAAGTAAAAATGCCAAAGTTTTTACATGTCCAGTTCGAAATCAATAATCTAATCTTCTAGTCCGAGGAATTCACGCTCCAAAGCTGCGCCCATCATGTTCCATTCACCATCATCCTCATCCTCCTGATTGTTTTCACTGTTGGAATCGGAGCCCATTTCCAAATCTGAGGGCAATTCTTCGCCTGCAAAAATTGTTAATTCCAATTTAATGTCACATTTAATGTTTCATAAATAGATTATGCTTACCGCGCCTAAACTTAGCACTTGGCATCTCGTCATCGTCTTCGTCCTCCTTTTCCTCGTCATCATTTTCATCGCCCTCGTTGGAGCTCTTATCGAAATCCGCAACGTTGCTGGGAGCGGCCAGCATGACATCTTCAGCGCGTGTAAAGAAATCATGTGCGCGATTTGAGCTCTCGTCCTCGCGCTTGCGCTTCAGTAATTTTTTGTCCATGGGCGGATTTTCTAGTGGAATCATTTATATAAATACGAAATTTGCTTAAATTATTGTCAATGGCTTACCAAAGTTGACAGGACCTTCGTCGCTGGAGGAGTCCGACTCGAAGAACGTCTCGTAGTCTTTGTTCATGGACTCAATGTCCGCATTGGTAAACACCAACAGCGGATTCAGCGTTTCACGGAAGTTGCCACCTTGCTCCTGCTGCATGCTGCTCGATGGCGAAATTTCAGATCTCTCACTGTAGTTGACCACATGCTCGGGACTGTGACAATGCGCTGGCGGCTGGCGGCCCTTGTTGCGCACCTTGCGATCCAGCGGAAATAGACGTTCATCTACATGCTCCCAGCGTTCGGCACAGGCCCACAGCCAATTGGCATTGACCACCTTGATTTTGGACTCCTTTTTGGCCGCATTGACTTTGTAGGTGCCTGCATTGACGGCCACCAGATGTGTTATGTCCTTGTTAATGTTCGACTGCACCTCGGCGCCCAGGCTCTTGGCTATAAAGTAGGCGCGCGATTGCTCCAGCTTCATTTGGGTCGGCACCAAGCCGGAAAAGACTAGATTTTGACCGCGTAGCACTTCGCATCGGATTTTCGGCACAATGATTTTGAGGTCGGGTATTTCTGTTGTCTCATCGTAGATCGCATAGAAGCGCTTGTGTATGTTGCGCAATATAACCTCCAAATAGAGTAAATAGTCATCGGGATCCTCGATTTCGATTTGTTTCAGCCCATCATTGGATATTTTAACATTTGGACAGTGGCTTTGAGATGTTGTGGCCACATCATCATTGGTTTTTGCGGCGTCATCGTCGCCCTCTGCCAGCCGCTTATCATCGCCGCTTGTGGACGAGGCGATGCTTTCGTCATCTTCTTTCTTGGGCACCAATTTCTCAGCATTATTGCTGCCCTTTGAGCTTTCCGCGGGCACGTCATCAATCACAACAATATCATCACTATCGCTTCCATGCTTGCCGCTGCTGTGCGCTTCCTCTTCTGGTAAGCCGGACGAATTCTCGTCTACATTCAAATGTTCGTCGGCAGCCGCTTTGCCATTCAATTTTTCAACGCTATTTACATAGGTTTCTTTAGTTTCAATGGTATTGGCCTCTGCATCTTTTGTCTCGCTATCTAGCTCGAATATATCCACTGACTCCTCATTTCCCTCCTCATCCTTGCTTGTGCTTGAAACTGTATTGTCGCTTTTCTCTTCAGCGTCTTCGGATTTTGCCACACTCGACGCTGGTTTGTCACCGTCCGATTTTTTTTCGGCAATTTTATCAATCTCTGCAAATAACCATGAAATTGTGAGTATAACTTATTCGAAGGGTAAGAAAAGTTGCTTACCCTTAAAATCAACACCCTCGCCATCTAGCTCGTGTTTTGACAAGCCTGGCGGCGCGTTAATGTCGCCAGTGTGTTGGAAGAAATGATAGGGCTTCACTTGTATTAAATTAGACGCCATATTCCAAACATCCTCACGATCATCTATAATGCACACCATTGAGTCGCCATTGGGAAAAAGCGCTCTATAAAAAAAGGCAAACACATTAGGAAAACATAAAGGTAAGTCAACTAAAACTACAACAACTGTGCAATGAATTACTTTAGATTATCCGTCTTGCTGGTGGCATTGAAACACTCATCGCGCGACAAAATCCGATGGGAAAAAAACTTGCCATCCGGATCAAGCAGTTGGGCAATCATGTGTGCATAGTTGCGTGCACCAAAGGTGCAAATATGCAGTTCATACAGCTGTGACATGTGCTCCAAGAACTCAGCGGTGCCCGGGCGCAGACGCGTGTGATACCAGGGTGACTGTGGGCCATATAATTGGAAGTGGTAGATGCCCTTGATGTTGTCCGGCACCGTATCGTTGGTAGTGTGTATAACCGTCTGATCGAGATCCACCAACAGCACCAGCTTGCGATCGGCGAGCAGGCGGCGTGTGTCATCGTGTCCAAGCTTTTGGGCCAGTTTCTGTGTAACTTTCAAATCGGGCATTGTGTGCACCATGGGCACCGATGCCTCCGATGTTTGTCCCTATTGTAATTTTAATTGTCAATAAGATTCATAAATTAATAAGAAATTCTTTTCTTCAAGCAAGTTTTCAATGGTACTCTTACATTATCGTTCTGCCTTAAGTCTGCGCCGCAGTCTGCGCACATGTCCTTGATAACGGTTGTGTGTATGCATTCGGATAACTCCAAAAGCGCATCTCTGAGCGGGAGAAAAAAGAGAACATTTTATGTATACGCTCATGTGTTGCTGTGCTGTGCGGTGTGTGGTGCAATAACTGCATTCCACCCACTGCCGCCCGCTCCATTCGTTGCGACTTGGATTCACATATAAAAAACAAAAGAAGAAGCAGATGAAGAGGAAAAACTCACCCTTTTATCACTATTTCGCCTTCTTTGCGTAGCCGCTTTCTAACCACTCCAGCTTGATTTGACTTGTATTTTAGAAAAGTGGCATCGCCCTCTTTGATTGGTTTCCCATCATCGCCGAGCTGTTGGTACAGGAACAGGATTTGTGCCGCTGAAACGTTTTGCCCTTCGCGTACGCGCCATTTATTGATTCGTATGCGTGTCTCAGTCGCTCCAAGCGCTGCATTTACAATGATACGATTGGCGCCTCCAACGCCGCCGCCACCATCGTCCACATCCTTTCTTGGCTTCGACGCAATCTGGATGGCATGCGTCTTGTCCTCTACGCTGGTCTTTTGCATACTTTATTTACAATTCGTGTATATATACAGATTTTAGTTTTGTTTAAATCTGTGGCTTGTTATGTTTTCAATTTGTGTGAATTGCCACAGCTCAAATTTGCCATTCTCCATCCAGGCGGACAGCTGTTTTTTGCTCATTGCAGTTATCGATATATCGCAGCTTATCGATAAGTACGTTGACGTTCCGGTTGATGCTGGCACGTTTTGTTTGTTTGGGTTTGTTTATACGTTTAATAGTTGTATAAAATGAGCGCGGAAATTGACCGTGAAGACTTAAAACGCAGCGCAACTGGAGATACTGCGGAATTAGAGAAAGACGCTACGCAGGAAACAGAAGCAGAGGGAGAAGATGACGGCTGGATTGGACCGCTGCCATCGGAACAAAGCGCGGCAGTGCCGGCAAAGAAAAAGAAAGGTAAACAAGCAAAATCAAATGTATATTATAGCCCCAAGTATCTGAATTGTGTACTGTACTCCTACAGTTTTGCCTTATGAACACATCTACTTGGAGAATCTGCCCAATGCCGAGAGCTATGAGCGCAGCTACATGCATCGCGACGTTATCACGCACCTGGTGAGCACCAAAACTGAATTCGTTGTCACAGCCAGCATAGATGGGCACATCAAGTTTTGGAAGAAAATGGATCTGGGCATTGACTTTGTTAAGCATTTTCGTAGTCATTTGGTGCCCGTTAAAACGCTGACAACAAATAGCAGTGGAACATTACTCTGCTCGGCGGCGACCGATCAAACAGCAAAGGTTTTCGATGTGGTAAACTTTGACATGATCAATATTATACGTTTGGGCTATACGCCGCTTTGTAGCGAGTGGATAAGCTCGCCTGGAGACGCAGTTCAGGGCCTGGCCATGTAATTAGATGCTTAGAACAGTTATACATGCATTTCTTTAATATATATTTACACACACCACAGCACCGACTCGGAGAGTAACAGCATACACATCTATGATGGACAGAGCGGTGGCGATGTCCTGCACACTCTGGACAAATTACATTCAGCGCCGGTCGTTGCTATGTGCTTTAATTTGGCCATGGAAACGGTCATCTCGGTTGATCGCAACGGTATATTGGAGTACTGGCAAAATTCCAGGCATGACTACAAATTCCCACAGCGATTGGTTAGTTTTAGCTCTAAATTGGACACAAGTAAGTAGCTTAGCATACAGTCTATAAACGTAAACTTTAATTTATTAAATCCCTTTATAGGCCTCTTTGAGTTTGCCAAGAATAAAACTCAAGTAACGGGTCTAGCAGCAACGCCGGATGGCAAACGTTTTGCTGCCATTTCAACGGATCGCAAAGTGCGTGTATTTCAGTTTAATACGGGCAAACTGTTGCGTGTATTTGACGAGGCGCTCTCCACGTACACACAAATGCAGCAGACGCCACATGCGCTGCCCAACATGGAGTTTGGCAGAAGGTTAGTTCTCCTTATTTTTAACTACTTCAACTAAAGTCTGTTTTTCACTCTTGCAGAATGGCAGCTGAGCGTGATTTGGAAAAGACCGCGCAAAATACAACTCTAAATATACTCTTCGATAGCACTGGACATTTCCTGCTGTATCCCACGATGCTGGGCATCAAAGTTATCAATGTGGCCACAAATCGCTGTGTCACAATTTTGGGTAAAACAGATAACATTCGACCATTGCAAGTGGCGCTGTTCCAAGGTAGAATCAAGCGACAGAAGGCTGCCATAACGCTCGAGCAGGAGGCTAGCGAGAATCCAGCACTGCAGAACTTGCTCAATGATCCGACAGCTTTTTGCACAGCATACAAGTAGGTACGCAAACGAGGAGAAGATATATCAAAATAATGAAATATATATTTCGTTTACAGAAAGAATCGATTTTATTTATATAGCAGGCGTCTGCCCTCGGATCTGCAAGATGTTGATCGTGACATATTTAATGAGAAGCCATCAAAGGAGGACATCATTGCCGTGCCCGAGGCTCAAGGTAATTGCTAAAAGTGACCTAATATTAATACTAACAATTACTAACAACTGTGTACTGTCTCTTACACGCTAACACTATTTAGACGAAGGTGTTTATATGTATTTTATGGGCTCATAACTATAAACTTTATGACTTTTCTGAATGCTTTTTAGTTATACAACGCATCTATGAAAATGTGGTATTGCACACCACCAAAGGTGATATACATATGAAACTGTTCTTTAAGGAGGTACCAAAAACGGTGGAAAACTTTTGTGTTCATGCGAAAAATGGGTATGGAATAAATTTTCTTTCCTTATCGAAAACTCTATACAAACTTAAACTTTCTTCCTTAGTTACTACAATGGACATATATTTCATCGTGTGATCAAGGGCTTTATGGTGCAGACTGGGGATCCCACAGGCACGGGTACCGGTGGCAAGTCCATCTGGGGGCATGATTTTAAAGATGAATTCGTGCCGAGCTTGAAACATGATCGTCCGTATACTGTAAGCATGGCAAATGCTGGTCCCAATACAAATGGCAGCCAATTCTTTATAACAGTCCTGCCTACGGTACGAGATGTTTTACATTTGTAATTTATTCATATTTCAAGTTTTTGGTTTATTTTATTTCAAGCCTTGGCTGGACAACAAGCATACGGTGTTCGGCCGTGTTTATCGTGGCATGGAAGTCGTGCTCAACATATGCAATGCTAAGGCAAATCCCAAAACCGATAAGCCCTACGATGATATTAAAATAATTTCAATACATTTAAGTAATTAAGCAGTAATTAGCAATAAATAAATGGTTTTATCAATTGTAGTAATTGTTTAAAATATACCACGCCACCTGTTGGCAAATAGAACTACTATTAAAAGAATACTTGGTATTTCAGCGTTGCTTATAGCAGGGTCACACTGAACAGCTGTTTATGCAGTTTCACCGTATTTTCCCCCGTATATACTCGTTGAACGAGCTGAACCCTAACAAATTGTTAATTAACATTTCAAATAGTGATTTATTATTACTAGTATATAGCTTGATATTATATTACAAATATAAAGCCACGTGCATAGTCAAATTAAGGTAAATATATGCACAAATACCCGCAATCTGTTTCGTTCGTTGCGTATGCGGGCGTGAATCGCTAAATTTTTGTTTGGCAAAAAAACAAAGAAAAAAGTTCGAATAGTGCAGCTTATCAGAAATCTAAATACAATCTGTGCGCTCTAAAATCTAGCTAATTGGTGCGTTAAATTGTGTCAAGTCAAGCTGCATATGTGCAAAGTCAATTATGTATACACAAACATGTGTGTGTGTGTGTGTGTGTGTGCGTATTCGTATGTTTTTATGTATTAAAGCTTTTGCTTATCAGCATAAACAATAGCGGAACCACACGTCGAGGAAACTCTTTATTGCGATTATATTAGTCATACAGAAAGCCGATTGAATACACGAATACAAATAAATATTGGTTATTTGGTTATTCGGGATTCTTATCAATGGGGCAGTTGGTTATTCGAGCGCACTTGTTAGCTGATTAAAAGTAACCAATAGCTTGATATAAACAACAATTGTTAATTATAATGAATTACAGTTGGATTTGCAGTGTTTCGCTAAAATGAGCTAAGACCTTTAAAGCCAGCCACAGCCACAGCCATGTCCCAAAATGATTCGGATGATGTACGCAGCACAGCTCAGCTTCTGCTCACAAATGCTCGGCATGGCGGCAATCCCTACCACATGCCGTACGATATGTGTAAGTAGTATGAATGCACCCCCATATCATATCCATAATAATAATTAATCCATTGTTTATAGCGCGACCGCATTCCATAAATTTGTTTACGGAGGAGTTCCTGGGCGGCTATATGCAGGATGGGCGCATGTCCGTGGTGCGACGTTTCTTCTGCCTGTTTGTCACCTTCGATTTGGTGTTCGTTTCGCTGCTTTGGCTGATTTGCATAGTTGTATGTATACAGCCGTTGTCCGCAACAAGAGAGTGCTAATTTTTTCTATTTTCCTGCGCAGATTGGTGGCGACAATATATTCCAGGCGTTTCAGAAGCAAGTCATGCAATATACCATATACACATCGCTTTTTGATGTAGTTGCCACGGCGCTTTGCCGCTTCATAGTGTTAATCTTTTTTTATGCATTGCTGTATATAAATCATTGGTCCATTATAGCGGTAAGCGACTGTCGTTTGATGCTTGACTATCTTTAATTTGTAAATTGCAACTTGCAGCTTTCCACAAGCGCCTCATGTTTGTTTCTCATCACCAAAGTGTTTTTCTACGATGTAAGTTTATCCATTATAGATCCGCATTTAGCTTTAATATAAGAATATTTCCTTATTTCCAGTGGGTGCACTCCAAACAGCAAGTATTCGAGGTGATACTCATTATAACATCATTCATTCTGGCCTGGGGTGAGGCTTGGTTTCTGGACTGCCGTGTGATACCTCAGGAGCGGCATGCCCGTCGTTATTTTGCAGGTAAATCTTGTGATCACTTCGATATTTGTATTTATTTATTCCATAACATCTTCCGTTGCTTAGCGGCGAGCACAAATGAGCGCACAACGTTAACGCAGCCAACGATCTTGACTGAACACGAGCGCCCACCGCAAAGCGTCACCGATTTCTATTCACCCTTGGACACGGCACATCATTCTGACGAAGAGGAGGAAGAGGTCAGCTAAGTATTTATGCATGCGCATACTCAGAATAAACTTTGAATTAAACAATTGTACTGTGCATCATCTATAAAAGATGCTGACATCTAGTTGTTAGGCAACAAAAGCACTCTCACAATGTTGTTGGTAGTTATTTGTACCTATTGCCATTTATTCATATGTATATTTACCTTTTGCACATTGCACAGGATGAGGAGTACAATCAAATGGGCTTGGACTGCCTGCGCAAGGCATATGAACTTATTGAGTCAACGGATTGGAAAGTGGAAAAGGTTACGCCTAAGGGCGACACAATACACAGCACACAGCGAGATAAAATTGGCAAGATTTATAAATTAACGGTGCGTAGTCGTAATTATTAAGTTCGATTTCTAATTGATTTACTTTTTTAATTCAGGCGCGCCTTAAGTATCCCGCCAAAGCGCTTATGGAGGAGCTGTTCTACCGCATTGAAGATGTTCCCAAATGGAATCCAACGCTTTTAGAGTCCAAGATAGTTCGGGTAAGTAATCAATAGTTATTAATGTCAATTAGATATTTGTTAAAATAAATAGTTGTCATTTGTAGCAAGGCTATAATGTTATATTGTTAGGCTTTTAAATATATAAAATTTGATTTTATGATACTTTTCTTTTATACACTTGCCGAATTGTGTTAGAAAATCAATTCGTACACCGATATTACCTATCAAGTTTCCGTTGGCGGCGGCGGTGGCATGGTAAAGAGTCGCGATTTTGTCAACTTGCGTTCGTGTCGTTTAATTTACAATGGCAAAATCTGTGATGATGACGAGGCGGCTAAGCTTAGCAGCGAGGACGAGGACGATAACTCTCTCAACCGATCTTGTGAAGGCAGTGTAACTACCTTATCGGACAATGAATCGCAGACACCACAAACCGGCAGTGTTGGTAGCTATCGCAACAAGTATTTCGGCCAGAGCTCGTTGCCGCCAGCGGAGGGCACCGCGGCTGCGACGGCCCCACCGACACCCTACGACACATTGAGCAAGAGTTTGGGCGCTAAGAGCTTAGGCGCTGCCTTAACGTTTAATGTCGAGCCACCGCCTCTGGATGACGCATTCGAGGATGCCAAAGATCAGCTGGACGATACGCCGCCTATAATGAAGAGCGTATTAACGCCAACAGATACTGTGGTGGGCAAAACCAACGAGAAGGTGTGGATGAGCGCGGCAATTAGTGTGGAATATCCAGCCGTGCCGGCCATAGCGAAGTATACGAGGTAAGAGGAATGACTCTTTATAGATAATTGATGACTATAATAATGTGGATTTGATATATGAGCAGAGGCGAGAATATAGTGTCGGGCTTTGCGTTTCGAGAAATCATTGGCAAATCGGATGGCTGCATATTGGAATGGGTGCTGTGCCTGGATCTGAAGGGCTATATACCACGCTATGTGCTAGATGCAGTGAGTGTATATTTATATTATATTATTATATTTATATTGATCAATATATATATTTTCATATATTTTTTTTTTGCCAGGCACTCACCTCATCCATGGTGGACTATATGAAATACCTGCGCAAGCATATAAATGAGTTACGACAGCGTCGACGGCGTTGATCCTGCAGTTCTCTTGTACATAGACTTACACGATAGATCGCTAACATAAAGCTTCTGCAGCATATTTAAATTGTATTTCATAAACAAAAAACTTCGCGTAATTATATTTTAATTGTATCTCAAGCGCGTGTTAGTTAACTTTAGAAGACAAAAGAAACAACAGAGTCAAGTGCATTGCTCGTAAGTTTATTGAGTATGTATTGTATATGCTATATAGGTATTGTAAGTTTATGTATATGGACGACTTAACTAATACATTTTATATATGCTTTTTTTTGTAATTGTATTTAGTCGCTGTTGGTGAGTCGGCAGCTACAACATCTAGTTTTGGTTTGCTTTAGAATGCGTACGTTTAAGATCAGTCTCAGGGCTTGCTCCTATTTGCTGTCGTTCTGGGGAAACCAGCCTTGACACGCCTCCACGGCCACCTCGCAAACAGCGCCCATTGCCTTGGCATTGTCATAGTCTAAGCAGATTTTTTATCCACGGTTATTATCCATTATTTTGTTTATCATCTAAGTGAACTTACCCAAAGCATTGCGCTTGCCAAAGATGCTGCCATTGAACGGTGGCTTCCTGTAGGCTGCCTCGCTGCTGTGTAGCAGAATGGCTGCCACAATAATGGTGACCAGCAGCAAAGTTAGTGTACATCTGAGTGCGGCCATTGTGAAGTCTTTTTGCGGCGTGGTGTGGCTGGCAACTGTTTGCTGGCGGAGCGTCGAAGTTGAAGTGTGATTTCTGGATGCCAGGACTGTCGCTTTTATAGGCTGCAACTACCCTTTGAGTCCTGCCTGGCCGGCTAATTGGGTTATGCTCGTGTTAATTGAAAAGCAAAATGACTTGAGGGAATTGGTTTTTTTTTCTTTGGCGTGTCCTAACATAAAATTTAATTGTCTTACTACATTTAATTAAGTACAAGCGATTCAAATAAGCACTAGTTCCGAAATTAAAAGAAATTAAATTGATCAGCTTTGAGACCGAACTAAAATACTGCCTTGCTACCCGCATTCCAATCGAGCACCTTGCTGAACTCCTTCTCGCCAAAGCCAATGGCCACCGCCTGCTCCACGCAGCTGTTCTGTCGCTTCAGATTGTCAATCATAAAGAGCTGCTTCTTGTAGGCATTCAGGAGGTCCGCACGCTGGCGTTTTAGGGCTTTGATGCGACCATCTCGCAGCCTGATCTCCTTGCGATTGTATTCGAGATCGTCGCGCTGCTGGTTAGCCTGCTGGCCGAGCATCTGGCGACTGGATTCGGCATCTTCGCTGGCGCGCATCAGGCGGTTCTCCAGATTGGCATTGGTTTGCTTCAGCATTTTTGTGTCGCGCCGCAGCAGCTCCAACTCGTGCTGTTGGTTGTTGTACTCCACCTGGCGCTCCTTTTGCCGGCGGTTGGCCTCCTCAGACTGCAGTTCGAGACGATGCAGCTGCTCGGCAAGCTTGGCGTTTGAATTCAATGCCTGATCCCGTTGACTTTCCGCCTTGCGCAGTGCGTCGAGTGCCTGTTCCAAGCGCTCTTTCAGATCGGCCATATCCTGCGTCAGCTGTCCGTGATCCTCCTCCAAAATGGTAACCTTGGCCTTTAGAAACCTTTCAAAATAGCACACATTAGACTTTGAATGGGGCTTAATTGTCGATACGCACCTGATAAAGTTGTCCTGCGTTAGCTGCTTCTTCGATTGTCCATTAACGACCGTTGTGCTCTCGCGTTGTGACTGCTGCACTACCTCTAGCTCCACCATCGGCTGTTGCTGCGCGTCCAGGCCATCGCCGTGCCGCAGCAGCAGATCCAACGATGGACTTTGCTTGAAATTCGGATTGCGATACTTAACGTACGTGGCCGTCTTATGACTTGCCCTACGCGTAAAGGTACTATCGATTCGTCCAGTCGGCTGCTGTGCTCCGTTGTTGTTGTTGTTGTTGTTGGTTGTTGGGGCTTGTTTGGTCTGCGCCTTGCCCAACCGCCAGTCAGGCATCTTGGACTTGTTCAATTGTGACATTAGGGTCGTCGTTGGCTTGCACCGTGGTGTTGTCACCTGCGTTGATGGCGGTGTCAATGTTGTTGGTGTGGTTGCAGCACTTTTATTGGGCGATCTGAGCGCCCTGGGTAGTCCTTTGTGGCCACGCCTGCCCGTTGTCCTGGCGCTGCCGCCATCCACATTCAGTTTCTTCTTCAGCAACGTGCTGGGACCCTTCTGCTTGAGATATGTGCTGTAGCGGGACTGGGTTACCGCATGGCTGCCATCTTCTGCGGGATTCAATGCCAACAGATTTAGCTCCTGATTTATATTGAAGAGTTCCTTTTCGCGCGACAAGATCTCGGCCATAATGCCGTTAAATGTATTTTGAATTGTCTCCTTCTTGGACACTTGCCTCGAATGAGCTAATCTACTTTGATCTGATGATGAACCCTTTTTCAACAAGAAATTTTTACAAATATTTATTTAATTGGCAAGCTGCCTCCTCCGTTCGGAGCTTTGCCTTTATTTGAGCCAAAACCCAGACCCTGCTTTGATTTTGACACCTGGCCGACAAGTACATAAACAATTGTTGGACTGTAACCAAGGGCTACCTGCACCGTTGGACATGTCCGTGGCAGCACCTCAGGCGGGGGTTGTTTTTGTTATTCTTTTTTCGTTTTCTATTGTTGCTATTGTTATTACCCCACTCCCTCTTCTCTCCGGACGTGTCTTAAGGCCAACGACTTGTGAATTTATGTACCTGTCAGCTTGGCATTATGAACTTGGCTCAGTCCGTGGGCGTTCCTGCTTGGAAGTATTGCCAAAAAAATATTCACGCACGGCGTGGGTTTATCGTATTTCTAGGCAAATGCTGATGCTCTATAGAATTTTGTGATGTAATTGCAATTGATCGACTGTTGCCAACAGAGCTGATGGATGGTTGGAACCCACCTAAATGTCCATTCCAGCGCTGAGTCAGCTTACAAAATTCAGAAACAAATCACATTATTTGTTTTCTTGCGATTATCAAGCTAAAGCTGACACAATTTTGATTCTGGATTCGAATATATTTTTCTGGATAGAAACTGTGTCCAAACTATATTTTTGTTAAAACTATCTTGTACTTAGCAGACATTTTCTGGATTTATCAATTTAAAAAGATACGAATTTAACAATTTTGAATTTTAATCAATTTTATTTTCGATAGTGAGGTACCATTTTGTTCATGATTTATTCCATTGGTTTTATCTGCATGTAAATTTTATAGAATACCCTGTAAAATTGTTTCCAATTTTTAAGCACATTCAAATAACATGCTAATGCTCTGGTTATTTCATAAACATCATAAACATAGAAGTTATTTATTACACACATTCTTTTAAATCTAGAGCTCTCCAGGCACGTCTGAAGATCGAAACATTCCTGCACGTCTGTCGACGAACTTCTGACATTGAGCATTGAACAAGAGAAGCACGCATGATAATCATAAATATTGGTATAACTAAAAATATAAATAGAAACGTTCAAGTTAATGGGAAACGTCAACAATTGGCCGCATCTGAGGCGGCCCCGACCAAGGCTAACAGCAGCAGCAGCAGCAGCTGGAAACGAGGAAAAGGTTCTGCTGGCCACTACCTGCGTGGTAGGAAAATGTAAATGCAAGTTCAAGATTTATGTAGCTTCAACAGAATACGGACCGTAGTTAGCGTATTGCCAGCTATGACTATATGCATGAATATATACATATGTATGGGAGTATTTGCCGTATATGCCGTCATCAAGGCATTCTGGTGACAGCCCACACATTGATTCTGTTTGCGGAGCTCTCGACTTGCTGCCAAGACGCAGCTCAACTTGGCGACTCTCCGAGCGCATTCGGAAAGCTCGTAAAGTCGGCTTAGTTAGCTGCGTTAGCCAAGCATGACGTGATTCGGGTCTGCAGGGATACATGGGCTGGAATCTCTAATTACGCGCCAGGCGTGCGCTCATTAGAAAGAGTAACAATCTCAGGTGAGAACTAGAAATGACACCTAGCAGCGGCAGGCCGACTATTAAATACACTTTTGTGGATATAGCAGTTGGATTTAAATGTGCTTTTGCTTTATACAAAAGACAAGATTCCTTTTCAGAAATAGTTGGGATTTCTTTATTAAAAGCTGTACAATTGTACATTGTAAGATTTCTTTGCAACGATATATCAAAGTAAGCTTAAAACGGAGAGGCTGATCTGTCTAGACCCAGAGATATGAAACTTTTACTACTGAACGAGAACTTATATGTATACTTTATTGCCACGGATGTGTCCATATCGATGTTTAGCACACTTCGTGACAATATTAGAATACCCTTTTTCTAGGGCATAAAAAGAGCGTCAGCCGAGCGTGGCACAGGGCCCAAGTGCAACCAGTGTGTGGGCCACTTGTTGTTATTATTGTTGTAGTAGTTGTTGTTGCTGAAAAACTGCCAACACCAGGCAGCAACACACACCACACACACACAACAAGTGACAAGAAGAGCGCGGCGCCAATAAGAGCGCGGCTTGGCTTGCCAATTACTCCGACAGCGACTCCGAAAACTTGGCCAGACCGGTTGCTGCCTAGGTCCCGTTGTTGTTGTTGTCGGTGTTGACTTTAGAGCCGTCTTGACTTTAGAGCCAAGCGTCTGTTTAGTTCAGTCTTGGCCAGGTCGGTGTGCGAGACACATCCATAGCAAATAAGAAGCGCGGTTCGTACGTCGCGCGCTCGCTCTCCCGCGGTTTGCCTTTGATTCAATATTCCGAGCCGTGGAATCGCAGATGAAAAACGAGCATGTACGTGTTAAGCTAGAGTTAGAGTGTGAATCGGTTTAATCTTGAGGCATGAAATGGTTCTAAATTGGGCTGGCTCTTTTACCGCGAACGTGCAAACGCATTTGTGACGCTGCCAAAGTCAAAGAATTGTTCGGTTGAATTTTTGTCGTTTGATTTTGTTGCTGCCCTTGGCGGGCGATCAACTTGTTGTTGTTGTTGTTATAAGGCACAACGGGTGGTTTGACTAACAGTTAATTTTGACTTCATCACGACAACAACAGAAAAACGAAATTTGTGTAAATTGACCGCAAGTTTGTTGCCTAAGTCTTTTGTTTTTTTCGCTTGTTGCCAGCACTTGCGAGCGCCAGTTACACCAATTATATACACAACTATATCTTTCGCTCTTTGCCTTTGCTTTTTCGCTCTTCAAGCACGCTCTTCGCTCTTGCAGTCATTTTGTTAGCCAGTCGTAATTGTTGTTTTATTTTCTACAGCCTGCAACCATATGTAAATCGAGTGTGCGCCAAACCAAGAGGAAGTTAGCCAAATTAAATGAATGCAAAGAAAACCTAACAAATTATGCGCCTGTGAAAGAAACAAATTATGCGCCACACAAAGCATGATAAATTGTAAAAATTGTACAAATAATACCAACACAAAAATATATTTCCACATATTTTGGCAAACAAAAAGTTGATCACAAATAAATAAACACGTGTAAAACAAAGGCCACATAACTAATTGGATTACGCAAAGCAACTAAAACGGGACGAACGTTGTTATAAGGTGAGTTTGGCGTTTTTTTCGGTTTATATCTTTTTGGCATAAATGAACCGCTAGAGTTTAATTATGCACATATTGTCCAGCTCGAAGCAGATCGCAACGTATTCAATATGGCGCAGGGTGTTTTTTTTTTCGCTTTAATATTTCTTTTTGATGTTTTGCCGTTTGCAAAATTGCAAGCTAAGCCACAAAAGATGACTTCATAAATCGCCGTCTACTGAGGCGG